GCAGGTGTGGTGCACTGCCCTCACCTGCCTGAGGGAACCCCATCGAGCTGAGGGGTTTGCCGTGTCCTGATGTGGACAAGCGGGACCTGCTGGTCACCCTAGGGTGTGCATGGTGACTGGGTCCCAGCTGGGTGGCAGTTTTTAGGAGCTGGAAGAGGAGGGGGCACAGGATGCAGGTTTTATCCACACGCAAAAGTCCCCTCTCCCGGCAGAGCTGGCCAAGTGGACTTGGGTCTGATTTACTCTGATGGATCTGGCATGAGAAAACTCCTTCCCCTTTTCCTGCCCTCTTGGGGTCCAGCTTCCATCACTCAGTGGTGGAAGCAGGGGGTCTGGAGATGCCCTGCACCCAGTCCCCTGTCCCCCCCTCCCCGGGGAAGCAGGGCAGGGCGAGGAGGGGAGCAGGAGCAAGGGGTGGCTGCTTTCCTGTGAGCCTGAGCCCTCTCCACGGGCTCCCAACTGCCTCTGCCAAGCGCTGAGCCCAAGGAAAAGCGGTGTCAGGTACCTTATAACGTGGGTCCTTTGCCAGCCAGGGGTGAGGTGGGTTGGAGTCAGTTTGGGCAGAGGGCTCGTGGCCCCTGGCAGGTGAGCCCAGAGGAGCAGCGACCTCCTCCCCGGGACCAGGGGCCTGTGTGTTTCCTCCACAGAGCCTGGAAAGGATCTTCGATTGCTTCTCGGCAGCTCTTCTGGCTGAAAGAGTTTCTTTTTTTAATTATTTATTTACTTTGTATGACTTTTTTGTAAGTTCTTCGGTATTACAGAGGAGGGCAGCAGAGAGAGGCTGCAGGGACATCCTTAAATAATTTTCATTTCTCAAAATCTGCCTTTTCCTCTTCTCTCTAAGTCCAGAGGAGAGATCCTTGGGGGGGTGGGAGGCACATCTGCACTGCAAATAAAAATAATTATTACAACCACCAACCAAACAACAACAAAGTAACAGCTAAGAAAAAAACACTTTAAATCAAGGACTTTGGAGATCAGAGATCACAGAAATTGTACTATTAATAAGGAGGAGGAAAAAAAAAAAAAGAGGCAAGAAATCCAGCGACCATGGGCCAGCCTGGCTTCCTAGCGTGTACTTTCTGTTCTCTCTCCTTTTTCCCAAGGTAATTGCAGTCTGCCGAGAGGGAGTTAAATGGGATTAAAAGATCTGTGTAAGCAAAAGGACCCAGAAGAGAAGGAGGAAGGAGTGAGCCGTCCGGGCCAGGGGGTGTCTTTGACACAGCTGAGCCCCTTAGAGAGGCAGAGAGCTGAGCTCCTGGGAAGGATGTACCCACAAACCGGCCTGTCCCCCTTTTTCTGATGGATTGCCGCAAAAATTGCCCGAAAGAGACAATGCACTAAACGTGATGGAGCCGGAATCAGAGCCGGTCTCCAGACTCAGAGCTACAGCAGCAGGCAGGGGGTGAGTACAAAGTCCGACTTCTCCTGGCGCCGGGGAAGGGCATCCCGGGCGGGGACGGGGGTGCCCGGGGAGCCGGGGGATCCCGGGAGGGCTGCGGGAGGGGAGAGCCGGGCCGAGAGGGGAGCTCCGCTCCCGGGTGGCTGGCGATGGGGTGGGGGAAGACATTCCTTCTGCCAGGGGATGATGTGAAAACTCCTGGGCTGGAGAGGAGAATGGGCTGGGAGAAGGGAGGCCACGCTGGAGCAGGAGAGTGGGAATAGGGCTGGGGTGTGCGGGAAGGGGGTGAGAGCT